TTCCAGAAGGTGAGGGTGGAAGTGGGTCTGGGTGGATGCAGAGGCCCTTTGATGCCATGGGAGGATGTTTGCACATTGTCTGGGGCCATGGCAGCCACTGATGAGAAGGGGGCAAAGACAACGGCACAAACCCGAGCAAGGGCCGGGAGGATGGAGGGAGAGAGCAAATGGGGACCACCTCGGAACTAAAAGCCATCAGGTCTCTAACTCACTGGAAGGACCTTGGATGGGAAACACGAACATTTAGTCTATAGCACGAAGCAATACATTTACTAAGAAAGTCAGGCTAAAATTTATTGGCCAGGTAGTTAACTTTTTATCAGCTTGTTATAAAATATCAGAACATACACATACTCATAAATTTCCAGAGACATAGCCATTAAGTATTCTGTACTTTTATGAAGGAAAATAATGACATGACATCTTTCTTTGAAATATGGGGCTGGGCTCGGCGCCTATAGCTCAGCCGGCTAAGGCGCCAGCCACGTACACCTAAGGTGGCGGGTTCGAATCCCCAGCCCGGACCCGCCAAACAACAATGACGGCTGCAACCAAAAAATAGCCGGGCGTTGTGGCGGGCGCCTGTGGTCCCAGCTACTTGGGAGGCTGAGGCAGGAGACTCGCTTGAGCCCAGGAGTTGGAGGTTGCTGTGAGCTGTGATGCCACGGCACTCTGCCCAGGGGGACAGCTTGAGGCTCTGTCTCAAAAAAAAAAAAAAAAAAGAAATATGGGGCTGTATTAGTTTCCTGTTGCTGTGTAACAAATTACCACACACTTAGCAGCTTCAGACAACATCATGATCCTCTCACCCAGTTTCTGTGGGTCAGACACCTGGGCAACGCCAGGCCCTCTGTGCAGGGTCTTTGGAGGCTGGAGCGAGAGTGTGTGCTACCCTGTGTCCTCAGCTGGGGAACTGGCTGGGGCAGAACCTGCTTCTAAGCTGATGCAGGTTGTTGACTGAGGTCATATGACTGAGGTCTCAGCCCCCAACAGCTCCCTACCATTTTCTGCCACATAGCCCTTCCCACAACATGACAGTTGGTCCTTAGGCTGCCAGGAGAACGTCTGTGGCAGCTGCAAGACTCTCTGACGCCTCTCCCCTCTGTTCGTCCAGAGAGCTCACCTGATTAGGTAAGGCCCACCCACACTCCAGGGAAGGGGCAGGACTATCAAAATTCTGCCCACACAGACAGGGGAGATTAGAGGTAAGCAAAATTGTTAGTCTGGCCTTGGACATACTGAATTTTAAAGGGCCTGGGGGATTGAAGTCCTCCTGGTCGGAGGAAATAGAAGAATTATATTGACTGGTGCCATGTGAATGAACTCAGGGCCAGAGGGACTCCTAGAGATCAACTAACAGGTGGGATAGAGTTTATCAAGTGTGTACGGCTGACAAAATCTGGTGTCCACAGGTAGTTGGCCCTTCCTAATTTCCTTACACTCTCTTTTCTTCTGTATGTTATCTGATTTAGCAGTGATTCTCTAAAATAGTTAACAACTATTTCTCTGCATCTGAGTTTCTGGAGCGTAATTATTCTCTCCAAAGTGGTCTCCCTATTCCAGGAAGCATGTGTGCTCCCACTGACTATGTTTAGTTAAGTTCAGTTAAACAGAATTGACCGGGATTCTGGAGACTAAGCTTTTGTCTCAGGCTGAGAACTAAAAATTGCCACCACTGGAGAAGAATAGGAAGATACTTATCCAGATCTTTAAGCTAAGATCAGATTTTTTGCTACCAAGCCACAATGCACTCTTTACCCAAGAAGCAATGGATGCATAGCGCCACCTGCTGGAGACACAGAGCTGTGCATGCTCAGGCTCAAGTGTTAACATTTACTTAACTCCGTACTTTGCTGTGTATAATGTGAACCCATGTTTTCCAGCCAACACTTTTAAGAAAACAAATATTTGGTTTACTTTTTAGTTAAACTTTTTTATATTTAGCCACTTGTACTATAAAGGAATTTTAGCATTTATTTTTAACATGGTACAGAAAGGGTCACACCTTTAATGGATAAGCATAAAGAATTAAAAAAGTAGATATAGATATAGACTTAGTACTACCCATGTATATTGTGCAACCTCATTTTTCTCTTAAAAAAATCGAGCAAAAAAAGTGTGCATTCTACACAGCAAAATGTGGTAATAGTCCTGTGACTCTGTGGTCTTCGGACTGAGACACCTCAGGGCATGAGGAGACTTTTTAAGGAGGACTCAGAGTTTTAAGAGGACCAGTTTCCAGCTGCTCAAATTCCCCCGGGTCCCTCTCCTAGAAGATGCTGGCAGAGGGTCTGGCCTGGGACCTCAGTCAGGCCTTCCTGCTCCAGGAATTCTGCCTCCTGCACAAGGATGAGGAGTTGACACAAGCACCAGCTCAGTGCCAGGCACCAGTTCTAGAGGCTGCGTGCTTATTAACTCTATAAGCTGCACATGCTCAAAGGCCAACTCAAGGCTCAGCGCCTGTGACTCAAGTGGCTAAGGCGCCAGCCACATACACCTAAGGTGGCCGGTTCGAATCCAGCCCAGGCCTGCCAAAAACAACAATGACAGCTGCAACCAAAAAATAGCCGGGCGTTGTGGCGGGTGCCCTTGGGCCCCGCTGCTTTGGAGGCAGAGGCAGGAGACTCGCTTGGGCCCAGGAGTTGGAGGTTGCTGTGACTGTGATGCCATAGCACTCTACCCAGGGGGACAGCTTGAGGCTCTGTCCCAACTCAAAACACCACACCTGTCACTGGTGGGTGCCTCTGTGGCCAAGGACCATGGTCAGGTGCATATTTTACGTTATTTCAATAGGCAGGACCTAGAAAGTTCTACTTTCTGATAATCAACAAATATCTGAGTAAAAGGGCTCTAAATTAAAGGTAAATTTTGTTTCTCCTAATTTATTCAAATTCACCGGAGAAACACTTTTACTAGCTTCCGTCAAAGGCTGATTCAGTATTGCTGGTGGATATTCACTGTTTGCTTTGGTCCAAAGCACCTGCTCTTACTTCTCAATAGCTCATTCATTTATTCCCAGCATGTTCTTAATAAGTTTTGATAAACTGACAGTAGCTTCTTACAGATTCTACTCTAAATGACTTCTTTTTGTTCTAGTTTTCACCAAATCCAATTTCATTCCAGCAATAATCGCTTCCCTGGATATCTGAATTAATTTTTTAAAACCCAGCAGATATGATTAAAGATGTAGTTCTAATAAATTTTTATTTTTAATATGTAAAAATTATTTATCAAAATGTAGAATATGTTTAGATGTTTTTAAAATAATTCATGTACCAATAGTAAATGCAGTAAGAATTTGATATAGAAGAAAAAAATTAACACTTAGACCTTTTTGATTATAGGAAAGTATTAATTTAAATGTTTATACATATTCTGTGGCAGAAAAACATGATAGGTTTGTTAGGGTAGGTCGAAAAGCAAGACGTGAGCAGACGAGATTCGGATCAGGCCACGTAAGCCAATGGGATGCTGCGTAAGAAAGCCCGCTGCAGGATAAGGGTAACGGCAAGTGTCACAATGTTGGCGTAAGACAGATGAGACACGAGCACATGAGCAGAGAAACACGAAAACAAGCTGTGTAAACAAATGGGCACACCGAGCAAGAGAACACTGCAACGAGAACAAGATACAGGTAACTACAACCATCACAGGAGACATATAACAGAAACAACCCGGCACATTACCCAGTACAGTCCCCCACCCCTTAGCTTTGGACCTCACAGCTCATCTGGGTTGGCTCAGGGAGTAGGGCCCCCGCCCCATATACCGAGGGTGGAGGGTTCGAACCCGGCCCCGGCCAAACTGCAACAAAAACATACATAAATAAAAATGATAAAATGAAGACAAAATTTAGAAAAAAGAGGAAGAGACATCTTCACCAAGGAGGAGAGGCCAACAAGAGGAAGCGGGGTGATGCGCAGACCCCGGCCACAGTCGGCTGGGCCGCGATCCTGCCCATACACCACCACCCCCCCCCCCACTGAACTTTCTCTTTATCAACTGTGCCGCTTTCTGCTTCAAAACTGTCCTTTACTTTCCTTCTTGGATTGCGAGAAGACAAGAAGCCAGGAGTTCGACAGCTTGGTAGCAGGGTCATCAATAACAGACTCTCAAGTAGAAAAATGTTACATTTGACAAAATTCTATGAGATGTAGAATGGAAACAGAAATCTGAATAACGAGAAAACAAACCACATAAAGCTTAAATGAGTACTTTTAAAACATTTACAGTATGTGAGAAATTACATTCCTTGCAGCTGTCAAATTTCTTTTTTAAAAAAACACAATCCTGAGTAATCACTACTTAAAGAATGATGTTTAATCCTCTATATGTGGTAAGGGTACAAGTTTTACCAAATTCTTTTGCTAATACTCTAAAAGAGAGTAAGCAGATGGGGTTGAATAGTTTTACTCTCCCAACGATTGTGGTGAACATTAAAAAGGTAAGTAGACGACGCTCCAAACACGGTGCTGGGTCTACTTTCTTCATTAATGCCTAAATCAAAGGACTTAAATCCTAAAATAATTCCACTCTTGGTAACGGGCTGGGGACGGTTTGCAAACCAAGGGCACCGAACGGAACCTGTGGGACACGCGGAACGCCCTTCTCTGAGTCGGCAGCAGGCGGCCGAAGCGCAGTGGGATCCCCAAAACTCGGGCACCCCGAGGGTGGAGTGTGGGCTCCCCAGTTTCGTACTTTAGAGCCACACCCAAGGCGGCTTCGCAGATCCCACCCAGAGCCAGCAGGAGGCAGAGCATGAAGCCCAGCGCAGGCTGGGTGCCCCCAAGCCCCGCCTCCCGGGAACCCGGCCCCGCCCTCGCTCCTCCCAGCGCCGTGGAGGGGCGGGGCGACGCGAACAAGCCCTCTAGTCGAGACCGAAGATTGGTGGAAGGGGCGGGACGGAGGCGGAGCCCTCCGACCTAGGCCGAGATTTGTGGGCGAACTGTGGGCGGGGCGGCACCAGCCCTCTGGGCGAGGCCCGCGATAGGTGGGCGGAGCGGTCCTGCGCCGGGGGCGTGGCCGTGGACACGTGGTGCGGAACCGGCACGGGACTAGCTCCGGGTAAGCGGCCTCCGCGGCTGGGCCTTCCCGGACTAGCGGCCCGAGCTGAGAGCGGGCCGGGCGGGGAGGGCCTCGAGGCAGCGGCGGGAATTACATCTCTTTCGTGGGGGAGCCTGGGGTTCACCGGCCGCAGCCAGGAGGGAACAATGCAGGCCCGGCTGTGCCCGAGCGCGGTCAGGGTCAGAGGCCCGGGACGGGCTGACCCCCGGGCGGCCCTGGGCATCCAGGCCCCTTGCCCGCAGCGCCCGGCCAGCAGAGAGGAGACAAGACGTGCTGGGCGCCCCTGGCCAGTGACGCAGGCGCCACAGCACATCTGTCGGACCGGCGTGGCACCTCCCGGGGGCCACCCTGGCTGTGGGTGTGGTGGCAGGGAACAGAGAGTGCTGGTCTGTCCCCTGGGCTCCCCGGAGGCCAGCGGAGAATTCCTGCCTCCTCTGGCAGCCCCCTTTCCTGGAGAGCTTCATGTTGCTGTTGCTGAACAGACAGGTTCACAGGGCCTTGGATGGGGTTCCTGGCTCCCCCGCCAGTGAGTCGGGAGGTGGCCGGTAGAAGGAAACACGTGAGAGGAGACAAAGTCCCCTTGCCAGCTTCCTGATCTGGGTGGCGCAGGTCACACATTCCATCAACCTCAGTGCTCTCATTGGTAAAATGCAGAGGATACTCGATCCCCTGCCGGAAGGTCTTTGCGATCTTAGGCCTGGCAGACAGAGCCACCCAGTCTGCCCCTTCACTATGAATTCCAGAGGTCATCCTAGCGTAGATTCAGTGTAATGAGGCGAAAACCTGGGGGCCTGCTACCAATGTTTGCAGGCTGGAGTGGAGACGATCTTTATGGAGCAAACTGTACACTCCCCTGGAGACAGGGGTCTTAGTGGTTTTTACATAGACCCGAGGCTATGATTCGGGTATTTAATATGTATATATGTGGACTAGCAGGGGATGATTGAGATACTAAGAAATAAAAGAATGATTTGTGTGTATTGCTGCTAGTTCCAGGTGCTACATGTAACAGAATGTCTCCGTTCTTGGTCTCTAGTCTCACTTTTTCAATTATGTTACTCCCCATGAACTTTAGATTTCAAGAGGGGAGTGAGCACTCATATGAATAGCAAAACATAACTATAGTTCAGAAAGTAGAAGGGAAGAGGAGAGAGAGGGGAGGGGAGAGGGATATGGGAGGAGGGTGGGTATTCAGGGGACCTCACCTACTGTGCATGATGCAATGGTACATTTCAAAACGATTAAGAAATGAGTATAATTGTGATGGATGTGTTACTTAGTTCAATGTAAGCATTTCACATTGTATATTGAAGCAGCACCCAAAACACCATAAATGCATCAATGCACAAAGTTATGATTTTTTTTGAGACAGAGCCTCAAGCTGTCCCACTGGATAGAGTACTGTGACATCACAGCTCACAGCAACCTCCAACTCCTGGGCTCAAGCGAGTCTCCTGCCTCCGCCTCCCAAGTAGCTGGGACCACAGGCCCCTGCCACAATGCCCGGCTATTTTTTGGTTGCAGCCGTCACTGTTATTTTTTTGGCGGGCCAGGGCTGGATTTGAACCGGCCACCTTAGGTGTATGTGGCTGGCGCCTTAGCTGCTTGAGCCACAGCACCGAGCCCAAAGTTATGATTTAATAAAAAATAATTTAAAAAATAAAATGTTAAACATGAAAAAAAAAAAAGAGGGAAGTGAGGCTGTTATTTATGTGACAGGGTGACATTTCTTTTCGTTTGGTCCAAAATATTGCTTTTACCTTAATGAGTTCTTCAGGCATGTAGAAATGGTTCCATTTAATGGTGTTGGTACGAGGGGAGGAGAAACAGGAATAACCCAGAACTGTGAGTGAAAAAAGAGGAACCTGGCCTGATCGGTTTTGACTAGTTAGGGTTAATAGGAGTAGCTTTTAGCCCAGCCCTGGGGCTCTGCGCAGATAGCCAAACTGTAGTCTCTCTGCACTACTGTGGTGAAAGGTACAACTTAGATGATTATAGTCTTGCCTTGAGTAAGATTTGGATCCTTTCTGAGAAATTCATCAGGTGATTTCTTGTTTGTGCTAACATCTTAAAGTGCACTTACACAAACCTAAGTGGATAGCCCCCTACGCCTAGGCTGTGTGGTATGGTAGTATGTTCCTAGGCTACGAGCCTGTACACAATGTTCCCATACCGAATCCTGTAGGCAGTTGTAACACAAAGGTTGGTATTTTTGTATCTAAATGTATCTAAACATCTTATGGGACTGTGTCTTAGTAAGGTCCTTGTTTACTGGTGATGGAAACATTGTTACTCAGCACATGACTGGTATGTTTTTGAATGACTTGGGCTAGAAGTCCTTGGTTAATGTGACTACAAAGAACATAGTATTAATGAGAATGTGCCACCGTGGGCTTGGGGTTTGTTGTATTTAACGTGAGCTTGGGGTTTATTGTATTTAACGACCAGGAACCCAGATGAAAACTACCCAGTGTAGCCTATTGTCCTGCTGAATAAGGTTTCTTTTAATGTAAGCAAGTAGCTTCTCTGTGTACATTTTTACTGAGGGCTGAATTAAAGTTTGACTTTATTAACACTCCCAAAGGCCTCTACATATTCGTGGACTCTGTCTTACTCAAGGTTTTTCCAGATGACTGCCTAAGCTGAGACACTCTGAACTGGCTTAGGGTCGCAAGTATTTCAAACTCTGTTGCTAGAGTCTGAGGAGTAAGAATTCCAGTTTGCTGCTTGCAGTACCCTCTGATTTCATCACCCTGCACAGCTCCAGTAACTTCTAAAGGACTGCCACACTTTGTGTCATGGTGGACAAAGTCACCTCTCTGTTTAGAATTCACTTTGGAATCCTACGCCAAGAAAACGGCACCCATTTCCTACAGAACATCAGTGCACAGGCATTGGCCTGGCTTCCCACTGCAGAACTATGTAACTGTGGTAGGGCCTTGTCACCACGCCCAGCTGTGTAAGGAACTTGCTGGAATTTGAGCATAGCTGATCTCTTCTATGTGGCTGTAGAAATTTGAGTCTTGTCACGTGAAACAATCCTAATTGTCAGTTGAAGAAAGGAGAAAGAACAAGTTTTGAAAGTCCAATACTAGAACCATTTTTATTTCATTTTCTATTCTCTTTTTCGGAATAGTCAGGTGATTTCTTTTCATCTTTATTAAACATGGAACAAAAGTTGTTGGGTCCCAAGCATGAGAAATTGGACGTTAGGAAATGTGTCAGGCGACTGTGTGGTCCCTGGAAGTTTCTTTATTATAGGTTCTCAGAGGTTCAGCTGCTGCCCTCGGGCTGATTCTGGCCCACAGTCACAACTTTCATAAACAGAACGTGGCTTTCCGTGGCCTCTGTTGTCTGAGATGAGGATTTTGTGGTAGAAGCAGATGTGACATTTTTGCTGGGATCCCTGAAGTGACCAAATGCTTTGTGGTCATAGGGGGAAGGTGCTCTGTGTGCTTTAAAAATTTAAAACAATTTTTTAAAGTGCCAGTAAAACTGAAATTCTCTGCTTTTCGTTTCATTGGACTGTGTGCAGCTCGGGCCCTCCCTTCAGTTACCTGCCATTTGACACACAATTTTGTGTAGATTTTTCTCCTAAGAAAAGAAGGGAAGATCAATCTGAGTCTCCAACTGGCTCCTAAAGCTTTTGTCTCTGAAGCCAGAGCCACTTCCTGGAGAGTCCCGTGAGGAGGGTGTCGCAATGCCTGGGAGGTAGGAGTGGCACTTTACAGCCACCAGCGTCTTCTAGAGGCAGCACTGACCTGCTGCTCTTCCTTCCAAGGGTTTTGAAGATCTGAGTCTGAGTTCTGGTTGAAAGATGTCGGCCCTCACCAGCCTGTTTAAGTACATTGATGACAATCAGGATCGCTACATTAAGGTAAGAGAATATTTCACTCTAGTAAACATTAAATTTTTGTTTAATCCCATGGGGCTCAGAAAAAATTTCAAGAAGCAAATGTGAATGATGACATTTGAATCAAGTATTAAAAGTGTTGCCTAGAGAGCCGTTCCTCTGCCTAACTTATACTTTTACCTTTTTACAGAACATGTTAATATATGATCCTAAGAATAGCAAATCTAATCCAAGACTTTTGTTTAATCTCCTTCTACAATTTCTTATGATAGTTATTATACATTAAAAAATTAGTTTTCCTTCAGGATGTTGTAAGTGATATACTAATATCTATATTTACTAATCTTTTTCTTGATTTCAACTTAAGCAATTATGCTTTAAGTAATTTTTGGTAGACACATTTCAGATGAAACCTTTGGAATTCTCATCCTAAAAGTTATACTTCAGAAAATTTGGCTCAGTGCCTGTGGCTCAAGAGGCTAAGGAGCCAGCCACGGACACCTGAGCTGGCGGGTTCGAATCCAGCCCAGGCCCGCCAAACAACAATGACGACTGCAACCAAAAAAAAATAGCCGGGTGTTGTGGCTGTAGTCCCAGCTACTTGGGAGGCAGAGGCAGGAGACTCGCTTGAGCCGAGGAGTTGGAGGTTGCTGTGAGCGTGATGCCACAGCACCCTACCCAGGAGGACAGCTTGAGGCTCTGTCTCAAAAAAAAAGAAAAGAAAAGAAAATTTGTCCATTGTCAGGATGATAAATAAGCAAATGTGGACGTGGTGACAGAGTATTTTTCTCGTATATTTCACTTGTAATTTCTTTGGATTCAGGTATAAACTTAATTATTGAACTTTGTACATTTTACCTTTTCTTCATCCTTAATGGTTAAAAATTACCATTCTGACATTTTTCTTTCATGTGTTAGTTCTTGGTACAATATGAACAGTTTTTCAAATTTTAAGCAAAAAGCACATGTGACAGGTGTGTTCTTGTATATCTGTTCCAAATACAGCAGCCAGAGGTGGTAAATTAACTCTGTGTTCCTGAAACACGGCAAAATTATGAAACCTTTCCTGCCTTAAGGAACACCTTTCCAGAATCCCTTTTTGCTTGTTATTCACAAACAGAAACTTGCAAAATGGGTGGCCATCCAGAGCGTGTCTGCGTGGCCCGAGAAGAGAGGTGAAATCCGAAAGATGATGGAAGTGGCCGCTGCAGATGTCCAGCACCTGGGCGGCTCTGTGGAACTGGTGGATATCGGAAAACAAAAGGTATGAGCCCGGCTTCCTTCACATTATAGAGCCACGGGGTTGATAGGACTCCGCAAGTTCCTAGAAGAGCTTTTGCTACAAATATCCTGCTCATCTTGAAAATAGAAAAAGGGCTTAATTTGGATGTTAAGTTCAGTGGTTGCTTTGCTGGACTGGGGCAAAGGTTTTGTGCTGCTCAGCATTTTTCTCCAGGAAGGAGAACTGCTGGTGGTTGCTCAAAAAGAAGATAATATAACTGTCATTCTCAGAGAATGTCTGAGATTCCCTTCCCAGGTCAGCAAGCTTTCAGAGCAGGAAGTTACACACTGCTCACGTCTACTTAAAAATAATAAAGACCCCCTATCCCCATACACAGGAATTCCAAGCTTCACAATTGGTGGAATAGCACTTTTTCATAAGAGATATTTGAGGGGTGGGGGTTTGCTTTGGTCATTTGCATTTCAAGGCAGGATTCTGGCAGGTAAGAATGCTCTGTTTTCTTCCTAATCTAAATGAACAGTTCCACTTTGTGGTCCATTACTCCACCATTTTTGTTTCAGATGCTGTTAGCCCATGTTTAATTACATGTTTTATGCCACATATTTTCAAAGTTTGTAATATCCTTTTATATTGCAGAGTGTGCCAAGTTTGGGCTTATCTCGGTTCTTTTGTCTAATGATTTAAGCATCCAGTTGAAATCACAGTCCTGGAATTTTGGGTGTGGACATCCAGTTCAGTGTGTTCATGTCATCAGCACAGGAAATAAGAGGCCCAGTGGGCTTTGCGTCCCCTGGGATCCCACAGTAGGTTCCTTGCAAGGCCTGGATTCAATTCCCAACCCAGTGTTGTTCATTCAGAATTTTCTTCTGAAACAAAATTTAATAGTTGATTTAAGATGTACCACAGCCTCCAGCAACTCCCCACATGCACTTTGGAGAACAAACCAAGTGTCTTCATGTTGTTTCCATGAGGAGCGTACATGACTTACCCTCTTCCCTTTTTTCTATAAATAATCTAGGTGAGATAAATAATTTTTTAGAGTTGTTTCATCACAGTAGATAAATTTTTTCCCACACTTCAGTGCAGTTCTTAAGAAAGGGCCTTTCATAAAAGACTACAGTAACAATTATATAATGGTGAAATACATAACACTTACTTTTATTAGGGAATTGAAAGATTTTATCACTGGTAGAAAAGTTCTACAGAGAGCTTGCAGTGAGAAGTTGCAATACCTCTTCTCTTCTCCTGAGGATTCATTTGGGGACAGTGTGCCATTGTTCAGAGAATCAAGTGATGATGACTTCAGGCAGGGTGCTGGTAGAGCTGACTGTCTTCACAGGGAAGTGCAGAAGCTGAAGTGTTTTCCGGCTTATGGAGCAAAGATGGGGTTGTGAGTTTGAGGTCCTAGTGAATTTCAGGAGAATTTTACGTAAGGGCCCAAAAGTATTTCAGAGGAGTTCTGTGGAAAAGAAATTTATTTAGAGAAAATCTGCTATTGTTTAAAAGTCAACTTCTTGATCAGACAAGCTGAGGGCCAGGTGTGACCACCAAGGCTATGTGTCCCCTGTGACCAGGGCAGGATTGTTTAAGGAATGATATTTGCCTCTGGGGGCTGCAGGCTGTCCTGGTACTCAAACCCAGCCTGAGGGCAGTTCACATGATGAGGGACATGGAGTCCACAAGCTGTACCCTGGTAGCTGTCAGGTTACAGGAGTTACTCAAATTGATGGGAAAGCGTCCTATAGCCTACAGGAATTCCAACCACTTGCCAAGTTCCCTGATGTGCTTACGCTCTTGGAGCTTGGGAGCCTGGAGTTATGGGGAGGACCCTTTGACACCAGCATCGTCCTGATCTGGTGGTCATTTTCATTTTGCTGCTCATTTTACTTTAGTTGTAAATCATTAGTTTAACTTCCTTATCAGCTCAGCTTGTGTGTTCTGGTTATTAATGCCTATTGTCATGAATGGTATTTTCTAGCAACTAGACCAATGCATAGGTGGGTGATGCTCCTTCGTCCTGTGTGTGCTTCCCCCCCGTCCCTGCCTCTGCTCCTGATACCTCATAACAGTCCCAGGTTTTTTCTGCTAGATCATAGGCACTGGTAGGGACCTGTGTGGGCTGGAGGGTTTCTGCACAGCGAGAGTGGTCCGTGGTCTAAGTAAAAGGTAGAGGCCATTGTCTATCCAAGATGAAAGTTAGAATGACCTCAGATTACTTTACCTTTACCAAGGGGCAGAGGGAGTTTGGGGCTTCACTCTTCTGGCGGGCTGGAGGCCCAGAGGCTCCGGCTCAGGAGTAGCCCCAGCACCCACCCTCCCTGCAGAGTGGCTGAGTGTGGACTCCATCCCTGTGTCTTGGTGCATAGCCCTCTGCGTGGTCCTAATTTACATACCAAATTTCGAAAATATGTCTTCTGATTTAAAACTGTCATTCTTAACCATCTTTTCAGAAAATAACAAACTAAGTTGCATCCCTTGCTCAGCCTGCATGCTTCATTATAGAAAAGCTAAAGAAAAATCAGTCTTTAAAAACTTTGCAAACTATCTGTGGTTAGTAACTGCTCTCCTGGATCAGTGATGCTTTCTCTCAGGGCACATTCTGACTTTTTTTTTTTAATGTTTAATTTTCATGTTTTTGTGTGAGAATGTATGTTTTTGCAGTTTTGGGCCAGGGCTGGGTTTGAACCTGCCACCTCTGGCATAGGGGGCTGGCGCCTTACTCCTTTGAGCCACAGGTGCCACCCGGTACATTCTGACTTTCAGAGCACTGAGCTATGTGCTTTGAATTACAGGGAAGTAAATTCTTACAATTAATGACTCCATTGAACAATCTGATCTCAAACTCTGCAGTAGAGGTTGATTGATGAGAATGCATGAGAAAGCTCCGGGTAGCATCTGTCAGGAATGCCACGTTCCTGAACGAAGGCTGCTCATGACTCTTTCTGCTTCACTGGCAGCTCCCTGACGGCTCCGAGATCCCGCTTCCTCCCATTCTGCTCGGCAAACTGGGTTCTGACCCAAAGAAGAAGACGGTGTGTGTCTATGGGCACCTGGATGTGCAGCCTGCCGCGCTGGAGGACGGCTGGGACAGCGAGCCCTTCACCCTGGTGGAGCGGGACGGTGAGGGCCACTGGGAGGGCTCCACGGTTTCCCTGCTGCACAGTCGCTGATCAGCTTGATGTTTTCTCAGTACAGGTTGTTTCTAACATGGTCTAGAAAGTGGGTCCCAGAGATTTCTCACGTGTGCCTTGGGGACTGAAACTTCAGAAAGCCCGCCCACCCTTGTGGAAAGGAGGGCCTGGGGTTGCCAGGCTTTCCTTGATCAGTGGCACTTTCTCTCATTCTGACTTCAGGCAGGACAGTCCCCAAAGACTCAGCCCCACTGACAGCCTCCCAACCCCTGAGATGTGGGGCCTCTCAGGACAGCAGTCATCCCTCCCAGCCCTCCCAGTTCAGGTGGCAGCACCAGGCTTGCCAAGTGCCTCCTCTCACAGGGTGCCTGTGGCCTCATGCAGGCCATGCTTGCTGAGGCCCTTTCCTTCCTGCCCCGCCTGGTATAAAGGTCTTGTGCTTCCATCTCTGAGTTGACACGTTTCTGTATATGATGATCTTTGACCTTGCTCTGTGCCCTGCCCCTGTGGGCTGAGTTCCCAACTCTCCTTCATTAAACCCCTTCCTACTGGATCACCAGGATCGCCATTCCTGACTTACCAGGTTTCCGTTTGCCACTGTGCAGAACTGGAAAGTGACTACTCAGAGCAGCGTCTTACCACTGTCCTCATCCTAGGGTGATTAGTGACTTGGGCCCCTCTCGAGTGTAAGTCTGCGTATCTGTGTAGCTGCTGTCCCAACACAGGACTCACTCTGTCTGGAGCAGAACCCCTCATCTCTGCACCTCTCATCTACACCCAGCTCCAAGGGAAAACATGTACCCTGAGCAGCACCGAGGCTCCCCTGTGCACCTGTGGGCATCAGCACTGGTCCTCTGTGGCCGGCCCCTGAATGTTCTCTGCTGGAGAAGCTTCCTGGTAGACACCTAGCTGTGTACTGCCCCCTCTCCTTGCCAGGGGAGCCCTCAGTGGGAGAGGGCAAGCTGAGCTTGTCTCTCTGGCTGTGGCACATCCTGAGCCAGCCCTGTGCCCACTATCACAGTTCCTTGCAGGGACGAGGATCTTTCATAGGAGAGCTTATATTTGACCTTCATCTTTTGTGAAAAGTTGAATACAGTTTATAAAAAAATTGCTAAGGTAGTGGTAGCTTTCAGCCTCAGCCTAATCTGGGGTGGGCCATGCTGAAGCCGCCCGACCTTTAAAGCAGTCTGAGTGTGAGGAAGCAGAAGACTGGCCAGGATGGCATGGGGTCCTTCCCCTGCCCTGCTGCCCCTAGGCCAACCCCTGGGTCATGTGGCAGGGGAAGTAGCAAGTGTGGAGGGGGAGTTACTGTGACTGACTGTGCTCATTAGATGTGAGGTCAGATCCCATAGTTTTCAAAGTGTTGATGAAAGAAAGGGAATAATAATAAGTACATAAATTCTATTATTTATCATATTACTTGTCAAAATTGGGAATGGGGTAAGATTCGTCATTCTTTTTTGACTGTGGTTCCTACTTACAGCCGGGCCTTCTGAGCCATGGTGCTTAATAGTCAGTAGTTTTAACGAACTAAGCAACTGGCAGCGATTCCTGGGATCGGGTTGTGAGCTCCTGCCCTGGCTCGGCAGTGGGGTGAGCCCTGGCTTACTGCCGCCCTCACCACAGTGGGGGAAGGAGAATGTGCACAGGACTTGCTCTGCAATTATGGTGAATTCGCTGGTACATCCTAGCAATGGCCTTGCATGGGGACACCTGCCTGGAAGGGAAGGTCTCCCGAGGGGCAGTGGCCTGTTCTCAGGCGTTATCAGCCGCTCACTGGAGATATGGCCCTTTCAGTTTCATTGTAATTGTAACTTTATGAACTTGCTGGTTGCTGTTCTAGGCAAGTTGTATGGGAGAGGCTCCACTGACGACAAGGGTCCGGTGGCTGGCTGGATGAACGCCCTGGAAGCTTATCAGGAGACCGGCCAGGTATGCCCACGAGAGCTCTGCCCAAGTCACCGGGTTCTATCTGAGCCACACAGAGATGAGCTCTGTTCACACAGCAGCTTGTAAAGGTTGCTGCTTGAGAGAAAGCTGCCTCCTCCCCCCAGCCCTTATCATCACAGTGACTTGGATTTAAGAGTATAGGTTTGTTTTCCAGTTTTAGGAAACAAAAATTAAACTAAAAGTTCAACTGCTTTACAGATGCTCAAAGGTCATATGTTGAGGGGAGGCACCTGTGGCTCAAAGGAGTAGGGTGCTGGCCCCATATGCCGGAGGTGGCAGGTTCAAACCCAGCCCCAGCCAAAAACTACAAAAAGAAAAAAAGTTATATGTTGACAACTCAGCAAGCGTTTTGCCAGCATGTAAAATGTGAATTTTCAGTCACTGACTATCCCTGTGAGTGTGTCACCTGCCTGTCCCTGCCAGTCTGTGACATAGGCTTTGTGACATTGGACATTGGACATCATGCTTTACGTCTTTCTAGAAATAAATTTTATTTTTTAAAATGTATTTCCTTAACTATGAAATCTCTGCTCACCATTAAAAGTTGCCAAAATACAGAAGAGTGGAGACAAATCCTGCCTAAATCCTAATACTTAAAGACCATTAGGATTTTGTTATTTATCAAGATTTTCAATTGCTATTAGCTTAATTGTGATTATAGTATATAGACGTTTTTGCATCTTTTATCATGATAAAATAATAAGATAAGCATTTTTGTCAAAGTGTGGAATGTCAGATCTGGAAAGGGTCCCAGATCCCCTGATCCAGGAAAGCATTTTTCATAGCAGAGAAGTGATATCCAGAACCACTTGCCTGGACCTGTGGCCAGCTCTGTGAGCCAGTGTGGGAACTAGGAAGCCCTCAGCCTCAGCCACAGTGGAGGCACATCGGGGCCCAGGGGACTCTCCTTGGTGGCCCAGGGGTGGCTGTGTACAAAGCAGAGCCTCTCAAAGCAGCTTCTCTCAGACCCATCCACAGGTGAAGGTCTGTGGAAGATTTCCCGAGGGGGCAGAAGTGAGGAGGAAGACAGGGAGCAGGCACGTCTGGAGAACAGCTCCCTCAGCGCGGGGCCTGGGCTGTCTGATGACTCGGCAGAGCAGAGTCTGAATTTAGGCCCTGCCCTTCTTTAACCTGTGTGGCCTTCAGGGAGCCATGCAGCTCTGTGTACAGGCTCATTCTCTGTTGGGGAGCCCCAGGGTTGGGGGCACGCCCCTAAAAGCATAGCACGTAACCCAGCCTCCTGCCAGGCTGCAAGTTCCCATCCCTGGAGACAGGACCATGACAGGAGTGATATGTGGAGCACCCTTTCCAGGGCAGGGCCACCACCAGGTACACAGGGTGGGCCCCGTGGTCCACCTGGAGGAGGTCAGGTATTTGAAATCCATAATCCTGTATGTCGCTTCTAGAAGGAAAGTGCAGCAAAGCTGAGCACCGACTCACGCCATCTCCTTCTCGCAGGAGATTCCTGTCAACATCCGCTTCTGCCTGGAGGGCATGGAGGAGTCAGGCTCCGAGGGGCTGGATGAGCTGATTTTTGCACAGAAAGACAAATTCTTTAAAGACGTGGATTACGTCTGCATCTCCGATAACTACTGGCTGGGGAAGAAGAAGCCCTGCATCACCTACGGGCTCAGGGGCATCTGCTACTTTTTCATCGAGGTGAGGTGCCATGTGTCACTGGGCCTCAGGGCTTCTTGTTCCTCACCCCATGCAGGCAAGTTCCCTGGGGCCGCTGACATGAAGGGGACATCCAGAGCTTGCACAGTGCCCAACTCTCAGCATCCGTAAGCTGTGGTAGTGGCCCAGACGTAGGCAGTGGCACTGCAGTCACCATGAGTCAGCTTCATAGCTGCCTCAGGGTGGGATAGAGCTGGCTGTGCTATTGTCTTGGAGCATCAGAGAACAGAGTCGATGATAGTCTGTTTAGGAGGACACACACATCCATAAACCATTTGAGAAACTCCCCTTTTAAGGGCAGGGGCCACGGGCTGAGAGTACCTGAGGGCTCCAAGACACTGCAGTGGATAAGGGTGAGGTCCCTGTTCCCTGGGGCTGTGGTTAAGGTGGCTGTCTGTGGAGGGCCTTGACCTGCACAGAGCTGGAAATGATCACAGTCACTGCCCTGCACAGTCCCTCTGGGCTTTGCAGTGACCTTGCCTGATGCCCTGGTGCTGCTGGGCAGTGCCGGTCCCCTCCCATGTGTGGGAAAGGGGCAATTGACCACCTCACCTGGGTACATGAGGAGCCAGGTGAGACCCGAGCCCAGGTCCTCAGCTCCGTTATTCCTGCTGAGTGTTGCCCACTCAGCAGACAGGTGCAGGGCCTTGTGAAACTTCTAGAAGAGGCTCTGAGCAATAGAGAGCTCGCCCTGCTGCATGCTTTACCTGGGGTGACCGTATCCAGTTTCCCCATGGTTGGCATATCCAAGGGTATGCTTTGTTCCTGCCTAAAGTTTTTAATTTGGGAAGTGCCTTGCTTTGCTCCTTGAGGGAGCAAATTTGGTTGTGGAAAATTCTCAGGTTTTAAAACTGCTCTTTGTTCAATTTATTATCACATGATAAATGTAAGCTCCCTCCAAGCAGCCAGATAAAGTGGCCTTTGTTCTCATCCAGGTGGAATGCAGCGACAAGGACCTCCACTCTGGGGTGTACGGGGGCTCAGTGCACGAGGCCATGACCGATCTCATTTCACTGATGGGTAAGCCTGGGCTTGGCATCCAGTCTATGCCCGTGAGCCCCCTCTAGGCTGTCTGTTGTCAGCCCTGGGTGTGTGTCAGCCTCTACATGAGCTGCTTTTGCTCATCTCTGACTATGCCACCATCCCCCACTTGGTTGTCCCTCTCAGACCATCCCCCTCATCTGACCCCAGGCTGCATCATGGCAGGCCCCCCCAGGTGGTGTCTGCCCCCTCCCATTATAGGACTCCGTCCTTTCTTGGGCTCTGTCATCCTCCACTCCTCTTGGGGTCATTTGCTTTTGTCTGGGTCCCTCTGCTTAGTCAGCTCTTTGAGAGCAGAACCACCCCCTGCCGTTCCCCGTGTCCTCCAGTGAGGGCCATACATAGCTCCTGCCTCCCCCTGGGCAGCACAGTCTCTGAGATGGCGTCCAGTCTGTCCCACTCAAGGTTCTCCCTCCTAGGCTTGGGATCCACTTGTTTCTCATGGAACACGCGTTGAAACCATGACAGGGTACAGGTGATGGTCTGAGTAAACCTGTGTGGAGCTAATGTGCCTGGGTGTGTCCCGGTCTGTGACCGAGGACAGCTAACAGACCCTGCCCACTCCCTTGTCTCTGTGTCTGAGGGAGGGCACTGATGCTGGCTCCCTCTTTGACTGTTATGGGGGTTAAATGAGCATAAGGCACAGACAGGGCCTGAGACATGTCCCATACCCAGGATGCATCACCCACAAGCAGCATGTAAGGGACTGGTCACAGGTGCTCATGGCCTCCTCCTCAGCCACATGGCCGTGAGGGTCTGGGTGGTGGCATCTTTCCTAAGCCTGACTCTCCCATCAGAAAGGAGCTGTGGCCCTTTCCTGCCCTCATGCATGCTGTGACCTCTGCCTCTCTCCTCAGGTTCCCTGGTGGACAAGAAGGGGCACATCCTCATCCCTGGCATTAACGAGGCTGTGGCTACCTTGACGGAGGAGGAGCACAAGCTCTACGACCACATCGACTTTGACATGGAGGAGTTCGCCAAGGACGTGGGAGCCACGACCCTCCTGCATGACTGCAAGGTACTGGCTCAGGATGTCCTGTGTGCATAAGCCAGGCCCGTGTCACCTGGCCCATGTCCCGGGGCCCCTGAGGGAGCTACAGTATCAAGCACACCCCAGTCACCAGATGGTACAGACATGACCAGACTGCAAGGTGTTAGGTTTTTAAAAGTGTCAGAATACACTTTTGACACATCAGAGCTGCAGGAAGTGTGGGTCTGCTTCCTGCCGTGGGGAGCATTGCCCAGTGTTTGCAGGGTGACCTCGTCAGCCACACCAGAACCAGGTGCTACAGTGGAGACTGTTTGCTCAGCGTTTACTTAATTATTGGGGAAAACTGTGTCTTGTCTTGATTAGTTCTGGGTTTCTGAGCTGCACTGTTAAGTTCTGCACCTGTGATTTAGCCACCATAATCGAGTCCAGCAATAGCCTATGTAAGCTCTGGAAGTGCAAGAGAAGTAAGGGCCAGTGTGGCCCTTGAATTCCATGTCTTCCAGACCACAGAAGGATGTGCCAAGGGCCACACAAGCACCAGAGAGGGCTCTGGGTGCACAAGGGAACAGTCCACAGCCTGGGCACAGCTGAGCCTTAATGGGACAGTGCAAAAGGCAGCCGTGAGCTGGCAGAAGTGCAGGGCAAGACGAGAGTGAGCATTGGCAGGAACACAGCATGGCCACTGTGTGGTGACAGGCCTGCGGGGCAGCAGGGGGAGGCCTGGGAATGAGACCTCAGTGCCGGGTGGCAGAAATGGGAACTGTGGTGAGGTTGTGAGCTCTGGGATGCCACACTAAGGATGGTCACAGGCAGGGGTGTTGGGCTGAGGTGGTGCAGTGGGGACACCACTGAGGCTGTTGTAGGAAGCGGAGGTACCTGGGATACAGGCCACCTTAGGGAGAGTCCTCTGGAATAGGAAGAGAAGGTCCCCATGGGTGTGACTGGGCAGTGATACTGTGGGCCAGGGCAGGTTGGTCATGGCAGAAGCCATTCTGGGAAGCTAGGTTCTGAGCAAACTTCTGTCCCTCCTGCCCTGTGTCCCACAGGCTCATGTTTACTTCTATGTATGGTGTGTTCCCGCTGCTGGGATGTAGTAGACATCTAGAAAGGTTGTAGTGTCAGTCACACCTATCCCTAGATGGCGGGGACAGTGCTTGTCCGTGTTTGCCGGGCCATGCCAGGACACACGGGCGGCCTGGCTCTTCCCTCCCAGCAGAAAGAAGTCCCCATCAGCATCCTGAAAGCTAGGGAGTGATTCCAGGGCCTCTCCTCCAGGAGCCTCTGGCTCCTCAGGAGCACTGATGTTCTTTGGACTCTGGGCCCTGGGCTCCTTCACCACTGTCTTCTCATCACAAAGCTTTCCTTCTTCCAGTGGGTGGACCTGAGCTCTCTGGGCTGCAGTGAGAGGCTATGGTGCCGTGACTGCAGCTGCTGAGGGCACAAGCCTCTGTGATGCCATAGCTGCTCCAGCACACCTGTGCAGTGGGCTCTGACCAGTCCTGCCTGGCTGAGGTTCCCCATATTTGTACCTCCTGCCTGTGCCTGTCAGGTCCCCATGGGACATGCCCTGTCTCACATTGCTGATTTCCCTATCACTGGTCCCATCTCAGAGGGCAGACAGGACTGGCACTGAAAGCCTGAAACCTCCCCCCACCCTGACACCCTTGCCATTTCCCTCCAGAAAGACATTCTCATGCACCGGTGGCGGTACCCATCCCTCTCCCTCCACGGCATCGAAGGCGCCTTCTCTGGGGCAGGGGCCAAGACTGTGATTCCCAGGAAAGTGATTGGCAAGTTCTCCATCAGACTCGTGCCGAACATGACTCCCGAAGTCGTGAGTGAGCAGGCAAGTTGGGGCATGGGAACTCGGGGTGCGGGTCAAGGGTTGCTGTGAACCCTTGGAGATGTGGATGACAAAATGCTCTTACTGGGACAAAAACCCAGATGTCACATGTCCTACCACTTGTTTCTTATCAACTCAGTGATCACTAGAGTCAGCGATTCAGAAGCTTATCAGAGATAAAGCCATGTAAACAAGGGTGGCATATAAGTGAGCTTGGTCACTGCTGATAAAATCTGACCTCTCCTTTCCCCAAGGATCCAAGTCAAACACTGATTTGGGGCCAAATACTGGTCAGAGTCCATGGGAGCTGGCCCTCATATTGGTGACAAGCAGGGCAGAGGGACATTTGACCTTGCTGAGCCATCACCCCTCATCTGGGATGATTCATGAAGTGACAGAATCTAAGTCTTCCCTACTGGGAAGATGAAAATGGAGATCTTGCCATGAGATGTCTCTGGGTTAGCCCCAGCTCTGTCTTAGGTCTAGATGAAATTTAGCTTGAAGTCGTTTTTATAAAGTACATTAATCATTCCAGGATACCTTAATAAACATCACAAATTGGGTGGCTTAAGTGACAGAAATGTGTTTTCCATAGTTTGGGGAAGTTGCAAATTCCAAGATCAAGGTGTTAGCAGGTGAGGGCCCTTTTCCTCCTGACCACAGAGGGAGCCAGCAGCTCTGCTGTCCCTTCTCATAAGGGCACTAATGCTCTCTGTTCAGGGCCCCACCCTTATCACTTTATTTAGCATTTGTTGGCTAAAGAAAGAAAGGAAAGCTTTTAAAGAATTAGTTTTATTCAGAAGCCTTGCTGAGGACTATAGACACAGTCCAGGGGTACCCTTTTCTAAAGGGATTCTCTCCGACTCTCTGGAGTAGTGTTTAAGATCGTGCTTACCTACAGGTGGTGGGTTTAGCCCCCCTATAGTCACATCAGACCTACCCAGAAGCTTCAGGCAAGTGAAGTTGCATCAGAGTTTGGGTATGAGAGCACATCTGGTTGAGGATGCCAGAGGCATAGTCCCTGGCCCATCAAATGTTACCTTGTGAGAAGGAAAGGCAAAGACGAGGTCTTTTTACCTCTTAAGGACTATAGCAACTCAGATGAGAGACACAGGGGCAGGTGCTCTGCCCTGTTTTGTCTCCAAAGCATCTTTCTGGAGAGCCACGTACCGGCAAAGAGCTGGGCTTGTGGAATGATGCTGCTGAGCTGAAACAAGCAACCCAGCTTCCCTCATTTGTGGCTCTGTCTCATGCCTTCAGCACTTCCATTAAGCCCTGTCTCCAAGTACAGTGACGAAGGCCTCGGGCGTACGGCTTCAATACATGAATTTGGGAGGGACACAAACACTCTCCTTAACATAAAGTGAGGCAGGAAACAAACAATGTTTTGAAATTTTCTTTTTTTTTTTCTTTTTATACTTTGAAAAGGCATCTAGGGGAAATAAACTTAAATATTATCATTTGAAATATCTTTTGAAGGGTGAATTGCCTGAGATTGAAACATTGCCTTTTACTTTAAATAACTGGATTTTGTTTCTGGGTAAAACAAAATTTTATTTCTTCCCCTTTTCCATTATTTGAGTTATGCAGATCAGTATTACGCAGCAAAAGTAAGGCTCACTGTAGGCCCAACCCTCCTTACAAACTTGTGCCATCCTAGACCTGGCTGTGGACCCCTGGTGGCAGATTCACCTTGGACTTGTGCTGTGATCACTAGCAGCAGATCAAATGTCAGCTTATAAAATGTGATGTCTCTCTTCTGTGCTGTAGGTAACCAGCTACCTGACCAAGAAGTTTGCTGAACTACACAGCCCCAACAAGTTCAAGGTGTACATGGGCCATGGTGGGAAGCCCTGGGTATCCGACTTCAACCATCCTCATTACATAGCTGGGAGAAGAGCTTTGAAAAGAGGTTGGACAGTCTCCTTGGGGACACATGCTGGGGCCCTTAGCCTGTCTGCCAGGATTCTGCTGTGTGGGTACATAGCTCTGTCAGCCACAGCCTGTAGAATCATATGCATGTGGGCTCCTGGCTACAGCAACACCGTCATGTCACGTGGGTTCATGGCCACAGCACTAACACCAGCTGTACTTCAGGGGCACACAGTTAAGCCAGTGTGTGAGATGGGCCCCCCTCCGACCCTGAGCACACTGACTGAGGGGTGGCTCTGCGGCGGCTCCCTAGGCTGAGGCCCCAGAATTCACCAGTTCTTCTGTCCCATTTCCCCAGTGTTTGGTGTTGAGCCAGACTTGACCAGGGAAGGCGGCAGTATTCCAGTGACCCTCACCTTTCAGGAGGCCACAGGCAAGAATGTCATGCTGTTGCCTGTGGGATCAGCAGATGATGGCGCTCACTCCCAGAATGAAAAGCTCAACAGGTGAGACCCAGGCCAGTCCCTGCCTCTTCTGAGCCTTGCGTGTGCTGCTGCCTGGAGCAGCAGGCAGGAGGGCATGAGAGCTCGGGCAGGGCCGTTGAGGGGCATGAGGTCTAGCCAGGGCTCTGTGCTGTGTTCATCTTCCACTCCCAAAACCCTCCCTGATGCCATAACTGTAATATGTCACTACTTTCCATCGCTACTGTTCCTGCTGGGTGACCACAGAGACAGCAGCATCTGGGCACCAGCAGTGGGAGGGGGCCGAGCAGGCCAGGGACCCACATGTGATTCAGGGGGAGGAAACTGACTGCAGAAGACAAGGACTCATTTTGAGGTGATGGAGGTAGACGGTCAGGGACCAAGGTAGAGGCAGAAGCCCTGTCTGGATGGGGGGACAGGCTTGGTGACAGAGATATGAGTGGGGGCCTGGTCATCAGGAACAGACACACAGTGGGGGGCCAAGACCTCAGCATGACACTTACCCTCAGGGTACCCAGGGAAGACCCCTTACATTCCCTCAGACCACAGCCAGGCTTGGTCACTGATGTGGGCAATCATGTTGAACTTGTACTTGAGAGCCATGCGCCAAATTCTAAGGCAGGTGGGACTCAGGGCTGCCAAACCAGGCCAGGTGGAGCCTCCCAGAAAGAACAGGGTGTGAGCCTGGGCTCTCAGGGTCCCTGTGCATTCAGGCTGCTGACCCGGTGGTGTGTGCTTCTCCACTAGGCACAACTACATAGAAGGGACCAAGATGCTGGCTGCGTACTTGTATGAGGTGTCTCAGCTGAAGGACTGAGTCATCCCCGTGGAGTGACACCCCTGCCCGAGTGCTCCCTCTCCTCCCTGCTTGTCAGGCCACGCTTACTTCCCAGAGTGGACACGTGGGTGTCCAGCTGCCTCGTGGGTGGAGTCACCTGCACCAGCAGTTAGGAGTGGTTAGGCCTGGGGTCACTGGGGTCCTGACAACAATTGAGTCACCCAGAGAGAGTCTCAGAATGGTCCGTACAACCTGACCTCCAGAAATCAGCCACAGTCCAAAAGCACACCTTCTTCCATGGAAAGTTCTGGTTGTCATCACACTGGGCAGACAGAGGACTTGATGCCTGGCTCACTCGATCGATGCTCACGTGGAATCTTCAGAACGGAAACGAGGAGACCTGACCTGTCGCTGTCTAGGTCCTGGCCTTCTCTCAGGACCAGGGCTCCATTTCCCCCCTCCTCTTTCTTGTGATCCCTCAGAACCTAACTGGAAGGTGAATAAAAATGAAATGAAGTCCCTGGGCTGCGCGTACCCTGGGGCTGTGGGCTGGATTCTGGCATAGTGGGGGGTGGCAATAGGGTCCTTCCAAGTGAGTGCAGTTCTTCCCCAGCCACAAATGATGGGGAGAGGCTCACTCAGCACCCCGAGGTTCAGAGGCACATCCTGTCTTCCCTGCTCCTTACTGCTAATGAGCCGCTGGAAGGCCAGCTGGTTTAAACAAAACAGAGGGTGGGCTGGCCCGGCTGATAGGGAAGAGCAGACTCAGCAGAAGGCGCCAGGCTGCCTGGTTGTGGCTGATTCCTTAGCAGGAGCAGGGGCAGGGAAAACCCCAGGTGAGCCTGGGGCACCTTGAGGCAGGGAGCAGGGCTGTGCTCTGGGGTGCAGGAGCAGGTGGGAGGAGCTTGCAGTGGCCAAAGGGGACAATTTGAGCCAGAAAATAATAACCATATCAAATAGAGACCCACGGAAGTGCAGGCCCCAGGAGCCTGGGTGAGTGGGTGGGTGGGGACTGAGCTGCCTTGTGACCAACTGGTCATCGCAAAGAGAAGGACAGGAAGATCACCACTAGAGCGCCACAGTCGCTGCCGGCAAGACCCTAATGCTCAGGCCATCCCTGGTCATGAGCCAGACCAGAGCTGCAGATGTGTTCTTAAGTTGAATTTGCACGTACATTGGAACAGCTGCATTTACTGTTATTGTAATAGCCTTGGCTTGTAAGTGCAAGCGGTGTGTAAGTCAGATAGATGTTTGTAACTTGGGGACTGTCTGCACACCAAAATTGATGGGCAAAGGTGTAAGGAACAGGATATTTCCCTGGCTTAGAAGATGTTGACCCCCAGGGAAAGCTGACCTTGTGGTAGAGAAAACTGGCAGATGCAGTCTTAACCAGGTGGCCAAAATGAGCCTCAGCAGTAATCAATAGTTCAGTATCACCACCCATCAATCACATCCATCATGCTGTGAAAAAACAAACAAATTGATAAAATCTGAATAGTCTGTAGTTGGCATTCTGCTGACGTTAATGTCTTAGCTCTCTGATGGGGGTGCTATGGACGTGTAAGCTGTTAGCTGGGTGACGTTTATACAGAGACGCTCCTATTCTACAACTTTTCCCTAAGTATAGCATCATTTCAAAGTAACAACTTTGAAAAAGACACGGTTGGTGACTTCAAGTATGGCTGGACCCAGCATCCTGTAATTGGGCCCCATTTTGCCACCTCTTGACTCTCCGAAGACCACCGGGAATTGATTGTCTCAGCTTTGGGCCCTGCAGAGAGGACCGCAGGGTCTTCCCACCTCAGCCCAGCATATCTGCTTATGTCTCATGCCTGTGAGCTCATGTGGGCTCCAGGTGGTCATGAACCCAAGTGGAGCTATGAGTCTGATGTTCCTCCCCTCCCAGCTTCCTGCTGAAATTTTACTGCCCTTATAACAGCATTGAGGTGGGACCTTTGAGCAGTGATTAAGCCACAGGGCTCCACCCTCATGAACAGACAAATGCCGGACAGAGACAGCGCTGGGCAGCTCCTGCTTGCTCTCACCCTCTCAGCACTTCCACACCCACCTGCCGCCTCCAGAGCCATGACCTGATAAACACCTGCTGGTTTTCTTAGCCATCTGCTAGCCACTTTGAAGACAATGATCAGAACTCAATTATAAGCGTACAGAAAGGGATAGAAAATTCAATGAGTTTTATTCTTATTATAAGTTTTAAAATTTGGAACTAGTTCAAAAAAAAAGAAACTTTATATGCTGATTTCAGCCCCGGGTTCTTTTTTTCACGACCAAACTAAAAATTGCCACATGGAAACAGCATTGCAAATGTCAACAGAAAATAATCCAAACTCTGTGAAATAATTAAAATAGTCCTATTCTGACCTGAGTATGTGTGACTATGACCCAGAGCTACACCCAAGAATCCTCAAGCAAGTGGTCTCACCATGGTTGGGTTACGGTTTGGGTTTATGTATTTCAGGAAGACAGGAGTTACACGCAAAGTCGTGAATCTGTATGTGGAAGGCACGCATTGATTGGTCTGGCCCCCAAAAGGCAGGACATCTGGAAGCAGAGGGTTACAGGTTACAGGTGGGTTTAAAGAGTCATTGACTTGTAATTGGTTAAAGAAATGAGTTCTGTCTAAAGGCTTGGCATATTTTGTTAAGAGACAGGATTCTGTTAATCAGAGGCAAGAGGGTTACAGGTTAGGTGGGTTTAAAGAGTCATTGATTTGTAATTGGTTAAAGAAATGAAGGCTTGGCATATTTTGTGAAGAGACAGAATTCTGTTAATCGGAGGCAAGCCATGAGCCGTACACCAGACACAGTAACGTTAGGTAAATTGATGACCTGCAGTTGTAATTGAGCCCGTCTTTCATGGCCTTAGGCTTGTTAATGATTTTGAATGTTGTCATTACAAAGCATAACTTCAAAAGGGACTGGACATAACTAGGCACGTCTGACCCACTTCTCCTCATGGCAACTCAGGTTTAAGGGATTTTTTTGGGGGGGGAGGGGGTTCCTCTTGACCAAGAGAGGTCCATTCAGTCAGCTGGGGGACTTAAGATTTTATTTTAGTTCATACAATAAAGTTAACATTTTCAAATCCAAGTCATGGACTGATAGTTAGAATCATGGTAAGGGACATACCCAAGAGCAAAAGGCCTCAGTTAAGTTTAGAAGAAAGTCTGCCTTCTGTGAGGGCAGAGAAGAAATATGGAAGCAATTCTGCTTTAAGAAATTTGCCTAGAAATCGAAATTGCTGGAGCCTTTACCACAACTGAAATGGCAACGCCTCTACTTGTTCAACTGAATCCAAAGAGCACCAAATATTTAAACTGGAGCCGAGACAGGGCTCACACACTGCATTTCCAGCTAACTTGGAGAGCAAGCGCAACTTCAGGTGTGGAGACCAGCTGCCGCCAAGCTCCCTAAGCCGTGAGTTTCACCCACCGTGGTCATAAGACAAGGGCGCCATTTCCTCATTGTTTGGCTTCCAGAGAACACCACGAAGCATCAGAATCACTCTCAGCATCTGCGTCTTCCCCACCTCAGTTACCTCCTCCAGTTCTTTAGCCTCTGCACACACGAGTACAAAATCTTTCAGGGGCACTGCTTTGAAGAATGATTTCTGATGTACGTCCAGCCGTGGCCTACCCTGTACGGAAGCCGCTGTTTCCCAGGCATCTCCCACCTCCGGGAGCAGTTTCCCCATCGCTACTCACTGGTGCCTTCCTGTGAGGGAAGATGCATCCATTAGGCTTTCTCACCTGAAGGTCCAGAGGTGCCAGATTGTTTTGAGTAACTGTGATTAAGCCCACAGGTGCTCGATCCCTAACCACTACTACAGTTGTTCTGGCCACTGTCTAAGGCCCCGAGGCTTTGCACCTGCAGGGACTTCCCAAGGTGGACTTCCCGTGGAGGGGGTGGGAAAGCTTCTTATGCTAGCTCTCCTACCCCCATGAGCTGGAGGGAGGCAGGGGTCCTCAGGCTTGTTCTCTGGCTGCCGTAAGCTGAACCAAGGACATGTCACAGGTACCTTGGGCTCCTCGGTTTTTCTTCCTCTGTGGGAACCCCATGGGAACCTCCTTGGCGTCAACTGCTGGCACTATACCTAGCCCTTCACAAAGACCCCCAGAGCCCTCAGCATCGAGCCTCCCACGGTGGAACACCTACAAGAGGCCACTTCTGGAAGCTCTGCTCCCCCTGCTAGACACCAAGGTAACAATGTGTTACAAAGACTTGGGAGAACCAATGATGACTTACTAATTCATTTTTGTATGTATTTACTGAATCCAGAACCTGGGACTCTGACAATCGTTCTCCAACCCTTTTACACAAGGTCGTTGGATATGCAGCAACACTAAAGGAGCATGTTTTATTTCTACAGGGAGAAAAAGGATGTGTATAAATAATTGTGCGTGGAGTCGCTTACAACCAAAACATGAAAATAAGACGAATGGCCCAGAAACCCGCATGTTACTGACACCACCGTTGTCTTCACAAGAGAATCTTAGGAGTCACCTGTTTGCTTTCATCGTATGAGATGAGCCCACTTGGATTCTCAAATCTTTGAGAAAAGCATCAGCTACAATTGACTGCCTGGCCTTTTAAAATGAAAGCGACTAACTGAAGCTCATGTCTCCCTCCACACTGTCATCGACCGGCCAGTCGGCCATTCTCCTAAAGTCACCTTCTATTTTGGTATTACTATCACTGAAATTTTCAAGCAGAAAAAGTCAAGTTACAAATAAGAAACTCAGAGCCCAGGTGAAGCCCTTTTACTCTGTTTTCCCTTTTCCTGCTCAATTCATACTACGGGGAGACAAGGATAAACCACAATCTTGTGAGTTTTAATCCTCGGCTTCCTCCGCTGCTTTGTCGTGGTTAATTTGGAAGTAACGTGATTCATAACTCTTTGCTGTTAGCAACCAATCAGGTAGATGGTTCTTCTTCAAATATTTTTTGGTAAGATATTTCAAATACCCTTTAGAAAAAGACATCTCAGCAGCGACGGTGATCTTGCTTTTGCCTCTCTGGATGGTTCCCCTCTACCAAGATCCCTGGCTTTCCCATTCACTTTGATTCTCTCTTACAAAAACTGCTCAAAATTGGCAGCATCTGTGACTCCATCTGCTACAGGGTGGATGCAATCCAGAGTGAACTTCAGAACCTGCTCCTTTGTCTTGCCTGCCTTCGCCACAGCATTGTCACAGGTGCCACCGTGGCAGAGAGGGAGGTGAGTGGGGCCCTTGGCGTGTGGGGCACAGGGTCCCAGTGGCATCAACTCAGCATCTGTTTTCCTAGTCTCAGGTGTCATGTCACAGCAGCGTAAGATGGGCGATGATGTCAGTCCTTGTGCTGAGGCAAACAACACCCCGATGGCTCGGGCCAGAGGTGTATCCCTGGACCAGAGTGTGGGGACAGTTCCTCTGCAGAGGGAGACCCTGGAGGACGGCAAAGTGGCGTTCTGCTAGAAGAGCAAGGGCTGTCCAGTACAGCGCAAGTGCTCACCTGGGTCA